TCGGAACTCACTGAGGGCCAAGAGCGTACATGAAGGAGGCAAACGCCAAGCACTGGTTGTCATACGACAGAGTGCCCTGCTATGCAGAAAGGACCCGCGCCTGTAAGGCCGGGATGTCCAGACTAGAGAATCTGGCAAATGTGGGCGGCGAGGCCCAGCCAGCCGCCACACAAATTTCTGCAATGGACACACTGCTAGACCAGGCCCAGGAAGAGGCAATGCCTCTAGTTGAGTGGGCTCTTACTCCCATGGGGCATTGAAGGCCCAAAGAAGAGTATGCTAGCATAATAGCGTAAATTATCCATTTGGAAAGTCTCTGCTTCGTAACCGGACAACCCTTGGTGCGGCTACCGAAGCATACAAAAAGCTGATCCGACCGCCTGAACGTGGCGGAACGCTCAACATAGACTTTCAGTGCCCTGACGGGACAGAGTAAGTTCAACTCTTGGTCTTGCCAAAAAGGAGGAAGCGCCGATAGAGTTATTACCTGTGCTTTAAATGGAGTAGAGAGCACTTTAGGTACATAACCGTGCCTTGGTTTCAGGACGACCTTAGAGTCGTCTGGCCCGAATTGGGGGAAAAGCGTAAAGGAGGAGGTTGGGCCAGTCGTGGGCCAACGCATCCTTGTCCTTCGAAAAGTAAATTGGCAGTGAGAGTTGTCTACTGAGGCGAAGAAGTCGACTTCTGCCTTGCCGAAGATCTCCCAGATTCTCTGAACCATATGTTGGTGGAGCATCCACTCTTCTGAGGGGATGTTGCTCTGATATAGCATGTCTGCTCCCTGGTTCAACCTGCCCGGCACACCCGTGTTTGAAGCGTCTGTCTAGACCATCTTCCTTCTGCAAAACATTCCCTGGAGCACGCCCCGTTCCATCCACCGAGTCTTTCCAAGGGGCCAGAGCTGCTACGCAGGCCTGGTCCACCTTGACATGAAGGCGTCCGAGACGCCAGGCGTGTGACGGAACTCGCGGATTCAGCCAGCACTGAAGGGACCGCATGCGAAGCAGGCCCAGCTGAAGCACCGGAGACGTGGAGGCCATGAGGCCCAGCATCTTCTGAAACACCTTGAGAGGGCGAGGGGCTCCAACTTTGAATGAGGCCACGAGCTGCTGAATGGCCAGTGCACGTTCTGGTGCGACTACTGCCCTCATTCGGGCTGAGTCGAGAACTGTTCCCAGGAACGAGATACGTTGGCTGGGAGACAGCGCGCTCTTGGCAAAATTGACCCTGAGTCCCAGGCATTCTAAGTGGCTGAGGAGGAAGGATCCGTGAAATAGTAGCTCATCCTCCGACTGGGCCAAGATGAGCCAGTCCAAAGGCAAGGACCGTGTATTGATGTACCACTCCCTTGAAGGCGAATCTCAAGAATCGTCTGCAGTGGGGGGCTATCTGGATGTGAAAGTAGGCGTCTTTCAGATCCAGCGAAAAGAACTAGTCCCCTGGGCACACTTGCGAGAGGATCTGTTTCAATGTAATCATCCTGAACAGCCGTTT